TAAATACAAAAAAAATTACTTCTTCCTCATGGCAGCCTTTAATTATCTCAGAACAGATAAAAGCAACAAAAGTGCGTCAGAAAGGCATTATTACCCTGGCTTTCCAATCTCCTCAAATACTTTACTCCTTTTCCATTGAAATTTTCATTTCCTAGTGAATTTATTCTTTTTCTGGATGGTAAGGATTGAGATAGCATCTCACTACAGTCCAGTACTGCTTTAAACTCATTATGTAGCCCAGGTTGGCTAGTTAATTTATTTTTTTCATATAGTCTTTCATGCCTTATGTTCTTTTCTTCAGCTAACACATTCTTTCAATTCTGAACCCTTTATTTGGCTAATCTGTCTGAATCTCATACCCCAAGAGCAGTTGTTACATTTTTAATCTCAAATGATGCCTGATAAAAAACAATTTGGTCATTTGTTCCTCCTAGTTCTGTAATGACACTTGCAACTTCCCAGTTACCTACATTGAAAACTCTATACCATCTACAGCTTTTCATTTCTTCTCTATTCATTAAATCAATCAAGTCCAAGTCATCCCTTCTTGAAGTCAGAACTTGTCACAGGCCTATACCACTGTCATGCCATGGGACACTCCTTTACAATCTGTCAGTCTCATCATCCTAACTTACAGCTAAGACTCATTTTTCCTAACAGATTTCAATGTCACTTCTCTATTCCTAATTATTTTCAGGATTGCCCATAGCTTACAGAGCATAAAAGCTAAACTTCTCAATATGACTTTTATTCTTTCAACTGACTCCAGTTACAAATTCAACCTTGTTTCTTTGATAACCGCTAGGAACTTTTACCTCTGTCATGCAATGTGCCATGGACATTATTAGTCATAAAAATGTTTCTAGAGGGGCTGGGAAGGTGGCTCAGTGGTAGAGCACTTGCCTCGCATGCATGAGGCCCTGGGTTCGATTCCTCAGCACCACATAAGCAAAAAGAAAAAAGCCGGAAGTGGCGCTGTAACTCAAGTGGTAGAGCGCTAGCCGTGAGCTGAAGAGCTGAGGGACAGCGCCCAGGCCCAGAGTTCAAGCCCCACGACCAGACCCAAAAAAAAAAAAAATGTTTCTAGAATCCCCAGCCAAGTCAAGAAAGCCTTCCTCTCATTTGACTACTCTTGATCATACGATGTCTTTAGTAGTCAGCATCATGACTTACAAAACTGCTTGCTTTTCTTTATAGTTTTACCACAGTAAATTATAAATGTATTTTGAGCATTTTTACAGTTTTTTTTTAGTTTCTGATTTTTTTTTTTAAACCAACCTTCCACTTGTAAGATTTCAGGTTGTTGTGTATAATAGATTTATTTTCAGGATTCTTCATCACTACAAACCCTGGGGCACACAATTCCTTGTTATGGTGGCTGTATGGTAAGCATCACTGGCCTCTAGCCATTATCTGTAAGGAGTAGTGCACCAGAGTAGCTCAAGCCTGTAATCTAGCTACTTGGGAGTTGGAGATGATAGGATTTTGTAGTTTGCAAGACTTCATCTTAACCAACTGTCATGTGTAGAGGCATATACCTGCAACATGGGTAAGTACATACAGCATTGCACTCGACAGTAGCCTAGGCATAAGGCAAGACTCTATCTCAAAAAAATAACCAACATAAGATGGGTGCTGGTGATTGATACCTGTAATCTCAGCTCTGAAGGATAGTGAGATTTAAGGACTGCAGTTCAAAGTCAGCCCAGATGTCTATAAGACTTATTGTCAATAAGCTACTCCCCTAAGCCAGAAGTGAAGCTGTGGTTCAAGTGGTAGAATGCTAACCTTTACAAAAGAAGCTCAAGTATAGTACCTAGGCCCTGAGCTCAAGCCCCAAGTCTGGCCCAATAAATAAATAATCAAGCCGGGAACCTGTGGCTCATGCCAGTAATCCTAGCTATTCAGGAGGCTGAGATCTGAGGATTGCAGTTTGAAGCCAAGCTAGACAAGTAAATCTGTGAGACCCTTAGCTCCAATTAATCATAGAAAAAGCTGGAGGTGGCGCTATGGCTCAAGTGGCCAGGGATAGCACCCAGGCCCAGTATTCAAGCCCCAAGACTAGCAAAAAATAAAATAAAATAACCAACACAAGGGCTGGTGGAATGAACATTTCAAGTGGTACAGTGTGTGGACAGGTACTGAGTTCAAACTCTAGTACAAAAAAAAAAAAAAAAAAAAGCCAGGTGCTGGTGGCTCACACGCATAAACCTAGCTACTCAGGAGGCTGAGATCTGAGGATCAGGGTTCAAAGTCTGCCCAGGCAGGAAAGTTGGTGAGACTCTTATTTTCAATTAACCACCAGAAAAGCGGAAGTGGCACTGTGGCTCAAATGGTAGAATGCTTGCCTTCAGCTGAAGAGCACAGAGACAGCTCCAGGCCCAGAGTTCAAGCTCCACGACCGACAAAAATAAATGAATAAATAAATAAAGGTTCAGTTATTGTACGATGTTCCTGGGAGGCAAGAAGGCAAAATCATTCCAGGTTGAGATCTACAACTCTTAGTTACTTTTACTACTTATTCTTCTGAGATGTTCCATTCTGTGGATGTATATGATAGTTAACTTTTCCAGTCTAATATTCTTAAGTAGCAGCTAGCCATGAATGATGGGGATACGCAAAGAATACCTAAAATGGAAATTCTTTAAGGCCACCAGTTTTGTTTGTTGTGTGGCTTGAACTCAGGGCTTGGGTGCTGTCCCTGAGCTATTTTGCTCAAGACTAGCACTCTACCCCTTTGAGCCACAGCTCCACTTCCAGCTTGGAGTGGCTAATTGGAAGTAAGAGTGTCATTGGATTTTTCTGGGCAGGCCAGCTTCGAACCTTGAGCCTCAGATCTCAGCCTCCTGAGTAGCGAGGTTTATAGGCTTGAGACATGAGTGTGCCCTGTGCAGGGCCTCCAGTTCTTAAGGGAAAAAATGCTCCAGTAATTATAGAAGAGATCACAAGGGCTCTGACAGAAAACACTGCTATAACTAAAACTCCGTGATTCATAAGGAACTTCAAGTCCTGTAGGCTATACCTAGCGATAGCAGTGTCTCATGGGCAAACTCAGTAAATACTCCAAAGTATCCCAAAAGCTAATGCTAATGCTATCATTCTCACTCTTGAAGCAACCTTCTTACAACCTACTGAATATGTATTTTTTAAACAGGTACAAAATCTGTTTTTGCTGAAAAGCACTGACTTCTAAACTGAACCTACAAATTAACTAAAAACAGAAGAAAAACCTGGCATCTCTACCTCAGTTTTTTACATTGATTTTTTTTTAAGCCATTCTTTCTACAGTCACTTTGCAATTACCCTGGATTCCAGCTAAGACAGGACTGATCAATAACATCTTTATAACAAGGAGTGAAATGACACTTAAGGAACAGCAGAAGCTTACAAGACAGACTACTTCCAAATGAAGACAATTACGAAGAATGATGAGGCTTCATCCTGGAGCAAGAGGAATCATCTCATCCTCTCAAGTGAAGACAGTGGGAAGTTCTCTGGAACTTGGGAGAACTAGAACTGAGATAATCGCCAACCAGCCCACACCTGCAACTAGGACTCTTCATGTATACCTTTACCCTCTGCTTCTAATTCTTCCTCTACCCATTTCCTCAGTACCCTAAACACAGCTGAAGATGTAATAAATTGTCTTCTTCCTGTGGCATGCCCTTGCCACATAGTAAATATCCCTTCTCTATCCTTCATCATGTCTCTGTTGGACATATAGAGGTGAGTGGCCAGATGTGACATATTCCTAATAAACTTTCCTATCACTTTCTCTACATTTTTCTTTCCTTGTTGGATATAAGAACAGAGGTAGACAGCTGTGCTCTCTGGTAACACTCTTACAAATAATGTCATTATGAATATTCTCCCCTTCCCTAGGTCTTGCATATTCTAGGTAACTGCTCTACTACTTGACCTATGTCCACAGCCCTTCTCAGTTGTACTATCTTTAAAAAAAAATATTTTAATGTAAAGATACTGTACAGAGGGGTTACAGTTACATGAGTGTACCATCTTTTCGAGATAGGGTCTCACTAACTTTTCCCAGACTGGCCTCAAACTCACTATTCTCCTGCCTCAACATCCCAAGTAGTTTATAGACATGCTTACATACACCTCCAGGAATATATATATATATATATATATATATATATATATATATATTTACCAAAATGAGAACTGCTTGTTGTTCTTTCCCCCAGCTTCCAACTTGCTTACCCTCTTTTCTACTGTAATTACAGCAACTCTTCAAGTCCCAGCCGAAGCCCAGCTTTTCTGGAGGAAAAACATTGTGGTCCTATTTCTCTATCACCCTTCCCTTTCTCTAAACTGAAACAGCATTTAAAAATAGCCCTATTTCTCACTTCTATTAGCTACATACTCTCCTTGTTAGTTACATAATCTATATACACGTTAGGTGTACATTGAATATAGGAGAAAAGACAACACTGGAAGCCTACTAGGTCTTAGAGGTAGATTAAGAAAAAAAAAAAAAGTAATGGCCTGGAAATCTGAATCCTAGTTTATCTAGAATGTGAACTTGGATAACTGATTTCCCATCTCTGGATGCTAGTTTCATCACCTTCAAAACTGAGTCAAAACGGACGATCTCAGAAGCAGTTCTCGCTCTGTAATTCAGTAAGAGAACCTAGCGTCAACAATCGAGGTGGAGGATGACATGGGTGGTCTGGGAAGGGGGATAGAGGACTAGTGTCCACCTGGGCTGGTGGTGACAGTCACAGTGGTGAGCTTTCTCCTCTGCGGTCCCACAAGCTCCAGAGACTGGGAGTGACGGCTGACGTCAGCGGCCAGGGCGGGGCCTCGGGGGCGGAGCGCCCCCGGCAGTCCCGCAGGCCGCCCCAGATGACCGGTGTCTGGATACAGCTACCGGGTCATTGCAGGGGCCGTGCGGCTCTGGCAAGACCGGCGATGGTATGGGGAGTTTTAAGGGCCGGCTATGGCCCTACAACGGGAGTTCTACGTGCCCACTTGCTCACCCGGTTAGGATATTCCTTCTCGACACAGTCCCCACACATCGCGACGCCTTTTATCAGGAACCGTCCTCCAGAGCTTCCGGCAAGGCGAAATCTCGAGAGATCTGAGACTTTGCTTGCCGCATGCGCAATTGGATATTTGGCGTCAGGAATTGATTTGAATATCTCCGCCCCTAGCAACTGTTGCTAGGGATGGGCGCACCGGGATCTCCAGGACATCCAGGAAGGGCAAGGTCTTAAGAGGGAAAAAGGTCCCAGGACCAGCAGACGTGTGGGAACAGAGAGAAGCAGCGTTGGGGACGGGGAGGGAGGGGGGGCGAAGGAGGGGAAGAGACCTGGACTAAAGGCACTATTGAATAGATCCTTTCCTGAGAGTAAACTGACAGATGGATCAGAAAACTCTAGAAAGGAAGTTGTTTCTCCATGACTCAACTTACTCTGAAAAACTGAAACGAAAATACTTTGGGTAATTTGCTGTGCCATTTCTTTTTTCTTCCTTTTTTTTTGGTCAGTCCTGGTACTTGAACTCAGGCACTGTACCTGAGCTATTTTTGCGCAAGGCTAGCACTCTACCACTTGAACCACAGCGCCACTTCTGGCTTTTTCTGTTTATGTGGTACTGAGGAATCGAACCTAGGGCTTCACGCATGCTAGGCAAACCCTCTTACCATTAAGCCACATTCCCAGCCCATTGCTGTGCCATTTCTTAAGGATGAAGAGTGGTGAAGAACTCGGCAGATTGCTAAACAAATTATATATAGGAGAGGCCCTTGGAACTCTGCAAAGAATCTCCTGAAAAGAATATATAAAAATGTTACTATTAAATGACCATCTGGAGCCCCTGGAGTATACAAAGAAGGGAAGTGTGTTTCTGCCTTTGTGTCACAGAACTACAGCAGTGGTGACATAAATAGGACAGGTCAAATTATCCCTGTATTATTTCCTGATCTTTTGGATCTCAAAATGCTTGTGATGGGTGCCCTGGCTCTTTCCTTCTGTATTAAAAGCAACTTATTATTCACAATGATATAATTAACCTGAATACGGCTCCAGAGTCTATTTTTAAAAAGATTAATAACCATTTTTGGAGCAAGCTGGTTTAATTGGATTTTCTAGTATGCAAATATATCTCCAATGGAGCATCTGCATAGCCTTTCATATGTTAACATCTGGTAAAGACCTACAATGGTTACTGAAAATCACAAATATACTAAGAAACAATGCTCCAGATTGTTTCTAACATATTTATAAGGTTATGTCTTTGTTGCCTTGTATGTCCCTCCCCCATGGTATATCCCCTGCTTTCACTATATATGATGTTGGTATATGTGGAGGGGAAGGGAAAAAACAAATTATTAAAACAGGGATACAGGAGGGGAAGGGAAAAAACAAATTGTTAAAACAGGGATATAGAAGGACCCATTGCAACAATGAGATGTACACGTGTTATGTCGAAAAAGGAACTTTACAACTTTAGTAGGGGGGAATGGGGGGGAGGATATGAAGGGATGGGAAGGGGAAACAAAGGAGGAGGCTACAATGTTTGATATGAAATGTGCTCATTATCTTACCCATGTAATTGCAATCCCTCTGTACAGTATTTTCACAATAAAAAAAAAGAAACAATGCTCCAACTAATATCACCAGGTTTTCTTTATTCTTGGAAAAATTGTAACACTTCTATTTGCATGGCATTTTCAACCTGTTAAAGTATCTTGTTCAGGTTCTAATTTGATAAAATTACAAACTTTATAAGATTGGTAAAGAAGTATGTCTCAGAGCTGGGAATGTGGCCTAGTGGTAGGATGTTCGCCCTAAGTGTATGCATAAAGTCCTGGGTTCGATTCCTCAGCGCCGAAAAAGCCAGAAGTGGTGCTGTGGCTCAAGTGGTAGAGTGCTAGCCTTGAGCTGGTCATTGCAAAAAGTGTGAAATATCTCAATATGTTTACACAATTAGTGTTGAAATATTTTAATAAATTAGGCTAAATAAAATGTATTATTACAATGTTCACCTTTTAAACATGTGACCACTAGAAAATTTAACATTATACATGTAGCTAAACTTACAAATAGGCATCTTTCTGCTGGACAGGGCTGATCTATACAATTCACTCTCTCAACCCACCTTTAAATTCTTTCTTGGCAGTGACAACTTTTAAGTTTGTATCTATTATATATTATATATATTATATATTCTACCTATATCTATAATATCTACAATATCTATCTATCTATCTATCTATCTATCTATCTATCTATCTATCTATCTATCTATCTATCTATCTATCTATCTGGAGTATGGAGCTCGGATTCAGGGCCTCATTCTTACTAGGCAGGCACTTTATCACTTAAGACCATTTTTTTTCTTAGTTATATTTCGGATAAATTCTTGTGCTTTTTGCCAGACTGGGACCTCAAGTTTTCTACTTATGTCTCATGTGTAACATACAGAGGCATGCACTACCATGCCTGGCTTATTTGTTGAGATGGGTTTTAACTTTTCTGAGCTGGCCTCTAACAACAACCCCAAATAGCTGGTTTTATAGGCATTTGATATTTATTGAATGTGTTTGATGTGTGCAAGAAACTGCAAGGTGACAGGAACATGAGAAGACATTATGCTTTCTTACTCTCCAGATTCTTGAAAAACATCCTGAGACATAAAATGAGTACACAAACCCATAATTAATTACTAGAAAATTGCCTATACAAGCCCCAAATGTGAAGACTACTCCCAAGAGGGGCATTGAGAAAGTAGAATTTGAGACTTGCAGAATATATTGTTGTTGTTGTTGTTTTACCAGTCTTGGGGCTTGAACCCAGGGCGTGGGCACTGTCCCTGCACTTCTTTGTGCTCAAGGCTTGCACTCTACCATTTGAGCCACAGCACCACTTCCAGCTTTTCTGAGTAGTTTATTGGAGATAAAAGTCTCACAGACTGCTGGGCGCTGGTGGCTCACACCTGTAATCCTAGCTACTCAGGAGGCTGAGATCTGAGGATCGCGGTTCAAAGCCAGCCCGGGCAGGAGAGACCGTGAGACTCCTATTTCCAATAAACCACCAGAAAACCGGAAGTGGCGCTGTAGCTCAAGTGGTAGAGTGCTCACCTTGAGCTGAAGAGCTGAGGGACAGCGCCCAGAGTTCAAGCCCCATGGCCGACCAAAAAAAAAAAAAAAGTCTCACAGACTTTCCTGCCTGGGCTGGCTTCAAACCACAATTCTCAGATCTCAGCCTCCTGAGTAGCTAGAATTACAGGCATGAGCCACTGTTGCCAAGCTAGAACATATAGTTTCAACACAGAGTCTATAGGAATTTCAAGTGTTTGGATTTTATTCTACAGGTGGTAAGAGCCATTAAAGAACTGAGCAGTAGTGCAGTGCCAGAGTTGATGCTGAGGATTAATTATTTCAGCAGCATTTAATTGGAACCGATTGAAACTAGAAGAAATTGGAGATATAAAAAACAGACACTAACCAGAACCACCAGGGGGAGATGTACAGCTTTTGACCTCATTATTAATAGAGAACAAACATGAGGAAAACAAAATTCGATTAAAAAAATAACACTATACAGTCACAGATCTCAAAAAGCATGTCATTTGGCATAACTGTTTTCATGTTCTGATACAATCTAAATATTTACAAGTATCTTTTTAACTTTCCAATATCTTGTTATTAAAGTGAGCAGGTGAAAAAAAAGTCACCTATTCCTGGGCACAGAAGATAAGATGGAAGAGATATTTGTTAAAGGTTCTCCATTCAAATCTAGCCATATTTAGAAAGGGAGACAGCAAATGAGATTTGGTGGTTTGGGAGACAAACAGGACCAGAAATTCAAGTGTGAATATAATAATAGGAATAAATATAAATGTATCTGAGAGTGATCAGTGGAAGGAAGAAAAACAGAAGCTACAAAGCAGTATATTAGCACCTAGAAAAAGCTATTTTCTCATAAGTAATTTATAAAATTTCCAAGAATTTTAAAACTGTGAGGGCTGGGAAGTTGGCTCAGTGGTAGAGCGCTTGCCTTGCATGCCAGAGGCCCTGGGTTCGATTCCTCAGCACCACATAAGCAAAAAGAAAAAAGCCGGAAGTGGCGCTGTGGCTCAAGTGGTAGAGCGCTAGCCTTGAGCTGAAGAGCTGAGGGACAGCGCCCAGGCCCAGAGTTCAGGCCCCACGACCGGACCCAAAAATAAATAAATAAATAAATAAAAACTGTGAAATTCTACTTTTACTCTCATTTCTGTGTATCCTACAAAAGGAAATGTTACAAAGATTTCTAGCACCGGGAATGTAACTTAGTGGTAGAGTGCTTGCCTAGAATGCATGAAGAACTGGGTTTGATTCCTCAGTACCACATAAACAGAAGTGAAGCTGTTGCTCAAGGTGTAGAGCGCTTGCCTTGAGCTGAAGAGCACAGGAACAGCGCCCAAGTTCAGAGTTCAAGCCCCATGACCCACCACACACACACACAAAATCTAAAGCAAAATGGGAGATGGCTCAAGTGGTGAAGTACTCATCTGGCAAGCACAGCCCTGAGTTCAAACCCCAGTACCACCCTTACTCTGAAAGAGTTCGGTTTGAATCTTTTCTTTATTAATGGGAAAAAGAACATACATTAATTTATAACTACCTATTTACTTACAGTCAGGAACTACCAAGATTATTTTTTTTCTTGCAAAGATATTCCAGTTTGTTGAGTACCAGGAAAGCATTGTACGTGGTTCTCATGAATACCTGCTTCAGACTGCAGACTCTATTCCAAAGAAGTGACATGGATAGCATAAAGTTATATTGCTTTGATCTTTACAACAATAAAATCCTAAATCAAAATGAAAGGGACTTAAGCAACGCAGGGTATTCCCACGGGGAAAAGACAGGTAGACTTTGAAATCATCTAGCAGTATTGTATGTAATTTTTTTTTAGAACATGTCTCACGAAGCAGTAGCATATTAAGTCTGTCCACTTGAGACATACTAGTCTGGAATGCACACAACTGGCAGCTAGCAACTTTTGCTTGAGTGAGAGGGTGAAAGCTAGACAAACTAGCTGTGGGAAGGCACCTGTGTGCCACAGTGTCAAATGAGGAAATACTTTTGAATTAGTTTTCTG